GACGTTTGTAGTCAGCCGCTGCGTCTTATCACAAACGTGCTAAAGAAAAAGATCAGGACACACACACACACACACAGCCTGTCCGGCTGCTGTCGGGGGGCGAAAAAGATCTCCGCGAAAACCTTGTCCTGCCAGTCTCTGTGGAGGTGCTGTTCTGCTCAAAGATACACTGGTGCTTCTCCTCGAAAGCGCTGGCCTTCGCGAGGTAGTCGCTGACCTCCGCTAGGAAGGTCGACACGGAACGCTGCGCTGGCAACGCGTGGCCGAGGATCTGCTCCTCGCGATGTCGCCCGGCGGCGCCGGGCGCGCGCGATGGGGGCCGCGCGCGTGGTATGGAGCCGTTGTTCCGCTACCAAACTGGATTGTTTAGTGCGCAAATCCCTGAGCCCTAATATGATTACGTCGGGCCATCACTGTTACTGCTACACTGCTGTACATCTCTCAACCTCTGCACTGATACTACACTTGATCTTAGTCAAGCCCTAGAGTACACCTGAAATCTCACTGGATGGGGGGGGGGGCACGGTCGGTCGGTCGTTCGGAATAAACAGCCAGGGAAGGGCACGGGACGGGGAGAGGGCAAGGGGCACGGTCGGTCGGAATAAGGAAGGGGGGGCGAGGGGGGGGAAAAGGGGACGGAAGGGGGGGGCGTAGGACAGGGAGAGGAGGGGGGCACGGTCGGTCGAAATGAGCCAGCCAGAAAAGGGGGAGCACAGGACAGGGAGAAGGGAGGGGGCACGGTCGGTCGGAATGAGAAAAAGAGGTGCGAGGGGGAGGGGAAAGGAGAGAGGACACGGGCGGAGGACAGGGAAAGGAGGGGGGCACGGTCGGTCGGAATAGGCCAGGAAGGGGGCCTGGAACAGGGAGATGGGAAGGGGCACGGTCGGTCGGAATATGGTAAAGGAGGGCGAGGAGGGAGGGAAAGGGGAGGGGAGACGGCGGAGGGCAGTGAGAGGAGGGGGGCACGGTCGGTCGAAAAGCCAGGGGAGCACGGGACGGGCAGCGGGGTGGGGGCACGATTGGTTGGAATAAGCCAGGGGGGGGAACGGAGGACGGGGGGGCGGGGGCATGGGAGGGGCACGGTCGGTCGGACGAAGCCAGGGGGGCACGGAGGACAGCGAAGCGGGGGCACGGTCGGTCAGAATAAAAAAGGGAGGGGCTCGTGGGGGGAGGGCAAAAAGGCTACGGGACGGGGGCGGCCTTTAGCATATCGACACGCATGCCAAAAAGATGGTCGGAGCCTGGACGGGGAGAGGGCAGGGGGCGCGGTCGGTCGGAATATAAAAAGGGGGCGAGGGGGGGAAAGGGGGAGGGGAGGGAAACGTAGGACAGGGGGGGGAAGGGGCACGGTCGGTCGAAAAAAGCCAGGGGGGGCACGGGACAGAGGGGGAGGAGGGGGGCACGGTCGGTCGAAATAAGCCGGGGGGGGCACGGGACAGGGAGAGGGGGGCACGGTCGGTCGGAAAAGGAAAAGGAGCGCGAGGGGGAAGGGAAAGGAAAGGGGCGATGGGCGGAGGACAGGGAGAGGAGGGGTGCACGGACGGTCGGAATAAGCCAGGGGGCGCACGAGACGGGCAGAGGGGAGGGGGCACGGTCGGTCAGAATAAAGAGGAGGAGGGCGAGGGGGAAGGGAAAGGGGATGAGAGACGGGCGGAAGGCAGGGAAAGGGGAGGGGGCACGGTCGGTCGGAATAGGCCAGGGGGGGCACGGGACGGGCAGAGGGAAGGGGGCACGACTGGTTGGAATAAGCCAGGGGGGGGGGCACGGAGGACGGGGCGGGGGGGCGCGGTCGGTCGGAATCAGCCAGGGGGGGCACGGAGGACAGAGGGGCGGGGGCACGGTCGGTGAAAATAAGCCGGGAGGGGGCTCTTGCGGGGGAGGGCAAAAAGGCCACGGGACGGGGACAAGGCACGGGACAGGGACAGTGGACGGGGCACGGTCGGCCGGCATTGGCAGACGGGGGCGAGGGGCGATGGAAATGGGGAGGGGGGGCGGAGGACAGGGAGAGAGGGGCACGGTCGGTCGGAATATGCCAAGGCGGGGCACGGGACAAGGAGAGGGGAGGGGAGCACGGTCGGTCGGAATATGGAAAAACGGGAACGAAGGGGGAGGGAAAGGGGAGGACAGGGGGGCGGAGGGCAGGGAGATGGAAGGGGGCACGGTCGGTCGGAATAAGACACGGACGGGCACGGGACAGGCACAGGAGAGGGGGCACGGACGATCGGAACAAGCCAGGGTCACGGGTCACAGAGGACGGGGGGGCGGGGGCACGGTCGACCGGAATAAGCCAAGGGGGGGCTCGTGGAGGGAGGCAAAAAGGCCACGGGACGGGGAGAGGGCACGGGACAGGGAGAGGGGAGGGGGCACGGTCGGTCGGAATAAGGAAAGGGAGGGCGAGGGGGGAGGGAAATGAGGAGGGGAAAGGGGGCGGAGGGCAAGGAGAGGAGGGGAGCACGGCCGGTCGGAATGAGCCAGGGGGGGGCACGGGACAGCCAGAGGGGGCACGGTCGGCCGGAATAAGCTAGTAAACCAGGGGGGGGACGGAAGACGACAGGGAGGCGGGGGCACGTTCGGTCGGAATAAGGGGGTTCGTGGGGGGAGGGCAAACAGGCCACGGGACGGGGACAGGGCACGGGACAGGGAGAGGGGAGGGGGCACGGTCGGTCGGAATAAGCCGGGGGGGGCGAGGGGGAGATGGGCGGAGGGGAGGGGAGATGGGCGAGAGGGGAAATGGGGAGGGGAGATGGGCGGAGGGCAGGGAGAGGACAGGGGCACGGTCGGTCAGAATAAGCCAAAGCGGGGTGGGGCAGGCCACGGGACGGGGAGAGGGCACAGGACAGGGACAGGGGCGGGGGCACGGCCGGTCGGAATAAGCCAGGGCAGGGGCGAGAGGGGAGGGAAATGGAGAGGGGAGGGGGGGCGGAAGAACGGGGACACGGTCGGTCGGTCGGTCGGGCGGAAGACAGAGGGGAGAGAAGGGGGGCACGGTCGGTCGGAAAAAGACAGAGACGGGGCACGGGACAAGCAGAAGGGACGGGAACACGGCCGGTCGGAATAAGCCAGGGGGGGGCACAGAGGACGGGGGGGCGGGGGCACGGTCGGATGAAGCGGGGCGAGGGGAGGGGGGAGAAGGCAAAAGGGCCACGGGACGGGGACAGGGCACGGGACAGGGAGAGGGAAGGGGGCACGGTCGGTCGGAACAAGCCAAGGGAGGCGAGGGGAAGGTAAATGGGGAGGGGAGGGGGGGCGGAGGGCAGGGAGAGGAGGGGAGCAGGGTCGGTCGGAATAAGACAGGGGGGGGGGGGGCACGGGACAGGCAGAAAGGAGGGGGCACGGTCGGTCGGAAGAAGCCAAAGGGGGGCACAGAGGACAATGAGGCGGGGGCACGGTCGGTCGGAACAAGCCAAGGGAGGCGAGGGGAAGGTAAATGGGGAGGGGAGGGGGGGCGGAGGGCAGGGAGAGGAGGGGAGCAGGGTCGGTCGGAATAAGACAGGGGGGGGGGGGGCACGGGACAGGCAGAAAGGAGGGGGCACGGTCGGTCGGAAGAAGCCAAAGGGGGGCACAGAGGACAATGAGGCGGGGGCAGGGTCGGTCGGAATAAACCGAGGGCGGGGCTCGTGGGGAAAGGGCAACAAGGCCACGGGACGGGGACAGTCTTTGACATGTCAACACGCATGCCAACACAGATGGTCGGAGCAGCGCGCAGACAGCAGACATCCCAGCACGCAGGCCAGCAGACGGAGAGAGGACACACCCCGGCGTTCACATCGTTCACATTCCAGGACACACGACTTCGCTCGTCCCAGGGCACGTCCAGCACACTCGAGGCACGCATTCCAATCCAGCACGTTCCAGGCACTCCTTCCAGCAGACGGAGACAGGACACACCCCGGCGTTCACAGTCCGGGACACACCTCTTCGCACATCTCAGGGCACGTCCAGCACACTCTAGGCACAGTCGGTCGAAATAACGCAGTGCGAGATCACGCCGGTTGGGATGACAATGGATTCCTCCCTGTCGCACCCCCAGGGGTGCCGGCAGGGCGGGCCAGGCGTTTCGCCTGAGGCTTCCTCGCCATCTATGATCTTGAAGCCCGAAATTCGCCAGCTTCAGAATTCCAGGGCGTGCCCTTCTCAAAATGTCGCTCTCGCCGGGGCGCCGCGCACACTCGTCTTAAAGGATTGCACCAGTTTCAAGGACAGGGGGGCGGCAATGCTGCTCTCACCTGAGCGCCGTACATACTTTTGGAAATTCGCCGCCACATGTTCAAAGATGTAGGGCGGGTGCTGCTCGAAATGTGGCTCTCGCCGGAGCGCCGCGCCCATCCGTCTTGAGAGTTTGCAGCAGCTCCGTGGATGGAGGGCGGATCCTTTCCGACAGGCGGCTCTCGCCTCGGGCGCCGCGCACTCTCGTCGAGAAACCCTGCAGCGCATTGAGTGATGGAGGGCGGCTCTCGCCCTAGCGCCACGCGCATCCGTCTTGAACGTTTGCACCGGCTTCGAATCTGGAGGGTGGCTCCTTTTCAAAATGTGCCTCGCATCGGCGTCGCGAACATTAGTGTCAAGACTTTGCAACAGTTACAAGGATTCGTAAAGTTGTAGTCCCAGGATCAGGATGCAACAGTCACGTTGATTCGAGGCGTTGCAATCCCAGGAACGATGTTTTGGCACGATTGATCATTCTCAAAAGGTCGCCTGTCAATGAGGCAATTCCAATGATGAGAATAGATAATGGTGGGGACCTATGAAGAGGGAACTTGGAAAGAGGGTTATTGCAACATCTTTGATGCATCTTGGTTTTACATTCTCCTCCTCTCCTCCTCCTCCATCGTGCCGTCCGACCCCTCCTCCACCATCTCCTCTCCCACCCCCTTTCCTACCCCCCATCGTCGTCATCGTCCGTCCGTCTGTTTGTCCTCCACCCCGTCGTCGTTGCTATCGTCGTCGTCGCTGTCGTCGTTGTCGGAGTCGGCGTCGTCGTCTGGCTCGGGGGCCCTTGCCTGCGGCGCTCCTCGAAGAGCTTCTCGGTGCCCCCCATCTTACGGACGTAGTCGAAGAACTCGTTCTTCTTGACCTCGGGGAGGGTGGGAAGGAGAGAGGTCTTAAAGGAGCGGGGTCCTGGGAGTCAGTCGTTCACCGCTTTCGGGGCCCAGGGCCCTCCACTGGCTAAAGACTGCGCAAAAGAGGCCCAAAATTTACTACCCAGAAGGTCCGCTGGAGGACCCGGAGACGGCCCAGACAGGCTAGCCAGACGGCCTTCGAAAGCGACCGACGGACTGCGGACGAGAGCGGGACTTGCAAACCCCAGACTGACCGGCCCGCAACAGACGTTGTCGAATCTCCTCCCAGAGTTGGCGGCGGGCACAAGGGGGTAGGGGGAGGGGGGAAGGCTAAAGGAGGCTGATTCTTAGAAGGCGCCGGCCCGACATCTACAGACAAGACCCGCACCTTCTAAGAAGCAGGGGTGCTTCTAAGAAGCCTTGCCCCCCACCCCTTCTGCACGTGGCCGACAGAGAGAGCCATGTGCGGTCAGTCCGATTATCTCTGATCGGCATGACGAATGCCCATGCAGCTGAGAAAGCTGCTGGCAGCATGAGGGCACGAGCCACGGAAAAAAACACCCGCTCCCGCTGCCTACATCCCAAGAGATTATCACTGGCTCTCAGCCCCAGGATGGCCCAAGGGAGCTCCAAGGGGCCCCCGACAGGGCCCAAAAGAAGACACAACACAGCCCCATGACGACGCGGTCCGCCATGATTACCGCACGGACGCCCGACATTCCACCACAAAGGCGCTGCCAGGAGACGGGGGACGGCGGTGGCTCGCCACAGGGGTGCTCGATCCGCCGCCACCCTGTGCTCGTCACAGGGGTGCTCGGCGCTTGCAGGTTATGGGAGCACCATACAGCTCCCCCACAAGGTTCCCACTAGCCTCTGGCCCGCTCCGCTACCCGCCCTCCGAGCCACACACCGTTGGCTTTCCGCCGCAAGTGGCTCCAAAGAGGCCTCGTGGAAGTTGGAAGCGGCTGGGGGCTCTGAACCGGTTGTGACCCCAGAAAGTCGGCCAGGAGGGGGGATGGAGCCAAATCCGTTCAAAACCGGTCCCCAGGCCCCTCTCGGGGTCCATCTGGCGCAGCTTGTCACCCAAGATCCATGTTCACTGTCCTGGAGCCCGAAAACGGCCCCCGAAGGCCGAGAAGGGCGAAAAAACTTTCCCGAACCCAGAACCTCGAGCCTGCCGCCCCCCCTTCCTGCTGGCCAGAACCAGTGCAGGGAAACCTCAGACCCCCAAACGGCTCCGAATTAGAAGGCCCTTTTCGCCATCAAACCCGCACAAGATGTCCAGAGCGACCAGCGCGGGTGATCCGTTGTCCCAGGGGCCCCCCAGTGGCCCTGCTGGCCGATCCCACAAGAGCCCCGCAGGCCACCTCTTGGAACCGCCCTGTGAATGTCTTAAGACATCTTGAGATGTGTTAAAGACATCTCAGGGGGGCATACCCGCACGATATCCCCAGGATGTCTTCGAACATCTCGGGGATATCTCGGGGGCATGTCTGGGACAGCTTGACCCTCTTGGGGTGTCCTTGAGGGTGTCCTTGACCGCTTAAAGACCCTCTTAGAGCCTTCTTGAGTTGCTTTGGGGATCTCGTCGGCTCCGCCGAAGCCCTTTGGGCGCTGAACACGGGGATACACCGAAGATGTAAAACAAGTATTGGGTCTACAATGGTTTGTGAATGATGTCCGTCTGGGGGGTCCTCTGGGGGCTTTCTCGTGGCCTTCTGTGGGCAAGCCTGGGGCCAAATTGGAGCCTCTTGGGCCCTCCTCAATTTACTCGGATTCGTCTGGGAACTCTGCTGGGACACTCTGGCGGACTCCTGGGCCGTCTGGCGGCTTCTTGGGCCACCTGGGAGCGCCTGGGGCACACCCAAGAGGTGGGAGCTCGGAAATGTGCAAGGGGAGTTGCGCCGTTGAGACCAGACCCACACATACACGTCTCTCTCACACACAGACACACAGACACACACACACACACACACACACACACACACACACAACACACAACACACACACACACACACTCAACCCTCTCTTACACACGCATACGAACACGCACACGCACACGCAGACGCACACGCACACCAACACACACGCACACAGACACGCACATACACACACACACACACACACACACACAAGCACATACATATATAGAGAGAGAGAGATTTAGACCGCAGACTCCCAAGATCGCCAGTACACTGTTTTATCGTGTCTGGAGCCAAGGCGATAACCTTCGATCGGTAGGGCGAAGGCGTAGGCCACCAGACGCGCTCGGAGATTCGTAAACCTGGCCGGCAGGCCGAAAACAAACACAAGCAATGAAACAAGGAAACTTAAGGTTTAAACCTGCTCCACAACAGAGAAGTTCGTAAAGATTCGGCAACGTCAATCATGGTGCGAGCAATTGCACGGCAGAGAGGCTTCGGATACGCGGCGGCGATTGAAGTCCAGTGTCAACCACCAGGTGCACGCCCTGCCAACTCCTGATGCGGCACTCCTGATTCACTGCAGTTTCGGCCACTGGCTTTACAACGAAGACAGAGACGCGACAGGCGGCCGCTCCCCCACGCAACGATTCGCGTGGCCTTCTTCCACGGGGCCTTAAACTGGCATTGATCAAGACGGGCTTCGACACAGTCGCGAGAGCGCCTCAGCGCAATCATGCGGGGGGCCTCCCACATAAGCGACCTGTCGGGATTTTCAACGAAAACAGGCACCCCTACCCTGCGACAGGCGTCAACAAGACGGCAGGTGACAAGAAAGGTTCTGTTACCTACCTCAAGACGCGCACGCTGAGACTGAGAAAGATCAGCACGGCCCATGGGATTAGACGAAGAACGAAGCGGTTACCTTAAAGCCTGCGACCAGGTAGTGCAGGGAGTGGCAAGCCACACTCCCAGCACAGCCCCCGACGCGATCCAGCCCCTCAGCATTTTCTCGACGGTGCGAACCAGAAGATTGCCATGCACACCCATCTGGATGTCGAGCGAAACAGCAGCGTATCCAGCCTGTCTCAGCTGGTGGCCGACTCCTTGCGAGCCGGCAAACAGGTCTAAGAAAACGCAGTGCTTGCGCCGGCGGGCAACTTGCAGTGCATGCCTGAACTCACGGCGCAGCCGACGCGCTATGCCAGCAGCGGGGCGGCAGAGTGGCGGCGGCCCACCTGCTTGCGGCTGATCGCCACGCCAGCGGGCCGCTTGCGAGCCACCCCTCAACTCAGGGTGTCGAAGCTCGGCAGCCCAGCGGAGCCGCCCACGGCCAGCCTCATGACGAGCAGCCCGAGCAGGTCGGGCACGCTGTCGATCACGCCCGAGAGCAGGAAGCCACTCTCCACCAGTCGCTGGAAGTTCTGCTCCACGAGCTCCCCGAACTCGAAGCTGGCCAGCGGGGCGAGGCTGATCTCTCGCAAGAGCTTCGACTCCTTGGCGTATCTGGCCATAGATACCACAATCCAGAGCGCCATCCGCCTGTGCCCCAGAGCGAGAGCAATCCCCGCGATGGCGAAAGTCGCAGACCTCGGCAGCGGGCAGCGCGTGGAACTGGGCACGCGGCGCCTCCAGGCCGTGGCAGCCCTCCAGCTCTGAGCCAAGCCCGCCTTGCCGGCGCGCCTCCCCTCGGGCATGAAGTGCGACAGCGCGGCCAGCAGCTGGCCCCCCTCCGCGGCGGTGGCGCCCGCCAGAAACTGGTCGTTGAGGTACCTCAGCCCGGCGAGGTCCAGCTCCAGAATCGGGGGCCACGAGACCTGGTGGGAACGGCAGTAGTCCGTGAACCTGTTGCAAAGGCCGCGGCACAGGGTCTAAGGTATGCAGAACGGGCACGTCCCTTCGTGGCCGCTAGGGCCAAAGGCAGGTTGTCTACCAGAGCCAACAGACGCTTCCCAAAGGCCTCCGAGCTGCGCAGACGATGCCGAATCCCAAGTGCGAGAGCTTCACCTTCGAGGCCCAGGATATTCATGTCCTCTGAGATCGTCACGGCCGCAACTCCTGCCCAAGACGACTCCTCCAAGACATCCCTGGGGACCTCATCGAAGCTGGACTCGGGCACGTTGAAGAACTCCAGAGGCTGCAGAGCGGACTCGGGCACGTTGAGGAACTCCAGAGGCTGCAGAGCGGACGGAAGAGACGATGATGAGAAGATGACGGGGCCAAGCGCTCTCTCACGCGCTCGAGCTCCACCTCCACACGGTACCGCCATCTGTCGGACTGGCGCCCGATCTGTGCAACAACAGCCGGCGCCACTCTGCGCCGCACAAGCCCCAGGCCAAACTCCGAGGCGTCAGAAGCGACGACCTGTGAGTGCCAGGGCGACATGAGGTCCGTCTGCAGCAGCGGAAGGAGGCAGCGGACCTGCCGGAGCTCGCGCCTCACGCGCTGCCACAGCATGATGGGCTCGCTCCCCGCCTTGGCAGCGAATGCGTAGGCGGCCTGCACCAGACACAACGACTCACGTCTCAAAAGCGCGGCCCAGGTGACGTGGCCGAGGAGCACCTTCATGAGACTCCCACTGCACCTCCCAATGCGAAGCAGCTTCTCAATGGCGAGCCGCAGCCGCCACAGGCACTTGGGGCGAGTAGCCAGGAAGCGGCCCTCGGACAAGCTCAGCCCCAGAAACTCCGCGTCGCGGGAGGCGGGCTCCTGGTCGTGGACCACCAGGCCGAGCTGCACCAGCTGCCCCTTGACCGCCTGTGCCCTGCGGTTGGCCACCTCCGCGCACGTGTCAATCACGAAGTAGTTGTCGACGTAGCCCGCCGCTGCCGATGGGCCGCCACGCTTCACCTGTCGGCCAGGCTGGCCGTCCTCCACGAGGCAGCTGGGCTCGAAACCACCCAGGCTTAGGCCACGCCGAAGAACGCCCTGGCAGAGGTGAAGCGCCCACGAGAAGCCCATGGGCAGCACGCGGAGGCACGGAGTAATGGGTTCCCCCGGCCCCACTGGCAGGTCGGTCACCCCGCAGCTCAGCAAGAACCCCGCGCCCAGGCTGGGCAGAGAGAAGTGCTGCACCATGTCGGGCGGCACCA